CGAACCCGCGACCTGCAGATTGCGAGTCGAACGCCCTAACCACCTGGCCATGCCGGGCCTATGATAAGTTATGTTACTATGAAGTCCACAAAGCCAGTTTATTTTTGCTTGTGTTAGTTTAAAAAAAATTACAGCTAATGTTTCATCTTAACGTATGTTGACGCTGGTAACGCGCTTCCCGTTGTTGACGTTGGTAACGCGCTTCACGTTGTTGACGCTGGTAACGCGCTTCACGTTGTTGACGTTGGTAACGCGCTTCACGTTGTTGACGTTGGTAACGCGCTTCACGTTGTTGACGCTGGTAACGCGCTTCACGTTGTTGACGTTGGTAACGCGCTTCACGTTATTGACGTTGGTAACGCTCTTCACAGTCCTACGCTCTCCCGCATATCTTAATAGCTTTAATTTCCAACCATGTACAAATATTCTGGAAAGAAATTAAACTGACGTCATCGCAGTTGTACGTATATTTTTATGTTTATTTCGTGTTTGACACAATATACACGAAGAAAATGTTTTTCGGGAGAGACGTTAGGGGGAGCGTTTAAGGCTATTTCAGATGAACCAGTTTACTTAAATAATTGGTACGAACGTGAATTCAGATTTTGAATACTTTAAAGTTGGAACCCCCTTCCATATGGAGTCAAATGAGTCTTGGAGCTATCAGGACTGGTAATTTTCAGAATTACAACTCTGGACAGAACGTTGATAGTCCATTGCGCTAAAACAAACATTCATCAGTGGATCAATGGACTTACATAAAAATGGACATTAGCATTTAAATTAAAGATTCTTTTCACATTCACTTAAAAACGGCTTATAAAGAAGTCTTGCATTGAAAATGGAGAAAAATATAGAGATGTTACTTAGACCCAAAGCATAAAATAACATTATATTGTAACTTACAATCATGATGTTCCTGTATTTTATTTCCACTATTTCTGCTAGCAAAGTGTTCGTTTTTATGAAGACAACTAAGCGGCCACTCTTAGCCCATTCCCCTATCTTCATTTACAGCTAGTTGAATAAAATATTTTAATTTTATTGGAGTTATAATTACAAATTATGAAGATATTTTGGCATTATTGCCTTTGTGTGTGAATTTAGGGTTAACCCAGATCCCCTTAAGATAATGGATCCTCACAATTATGGCCGATAAGAACGACAGTCTTCAACCGAAGGACTAGTAAGATATTATCATTGCGTGCTTTTTTTAATTTCCTTTTGAATTAACGAATTCGTTAAACGATTGTTTTCATTGAGCTATTTTAAGTTAGTTTATTTAGTGTTTATATAGTTTGAGTAATTTTTAACAAAAATATCAACTTTCACTGTTAGTTCTAAACTTATATGATGAAATATTAACATAAAGTACATCTGAGAAGCAAAAATTAGTAGCATAGTAAACTGAACTATGCTTAAAGAATATCAAAGAAAAAGAGACAGCCAAAAATCAGGAAGCTAGATCAGAGGTAATCAGAGTTATGCATAGAATTAGTTTACTTACAGGTATAAGAAAAACTAACTGATAACCGCTTACATAATTCAAACTCTACGAAACACTTAGTTTAGTTTTCGTCTGTTTGTTGGATTTCACCCAAATGGTATTCTAGGGCTAGCCCTCCCTAATTTTGAAGCGATAGACTAGAAGGACGGCAATACGACTCACCGCCGAATCTTGGACCACGCTTTATCAAAGAATAACGGGCTTGACCGTCACATTATAACGCCCAACCCTCTCACGGATGAAATGGCGAAGATATTCGGTGACGTAATTCGATCCCGCGACCCATAGATTGCGAACCGTGTCCACTAATCGTCATACCTCAAACTACACAGTGTGCTATTTGCACTCTGTCTCCCGCGGGGAATCGAACCACGGATTTTAGCTTTGCAAACTTACCGCAGTCGTAAGTATGGGAGTGCGATGAAAAGGTTTTATTATTTTTTTTCTCTTAAAAAAAGGAAAACCTGATACACGAATATCAGTATATATATATATATATATATTCATTTAATGCATTTATTTCCGTTCCTGGTTAGTCATTTATAGTCATAGCAGATATAGCTTGTGGTCTTAGCACCCAAAAAGCGTTGGGGATATCCTCCCATCTATCAAGCAAAATCCAAAACGTCAAAGTTGCCCATCGTGGTAAATCAAATCAAGGATGTAGTGGTGAGTGCTCAAACCCACAACGTTTCACCTCCTACTGCCTTTCCCTGTCTGCAGCCAGATGGGGGAAGGCAAGTTACCCTTAAAGTTATTTAAGTTTTAAAACTAGAAACAGAACCACCACAGTATAGATCTCCCAACCACCACACTTATTAAGCTCTTAAAAAATTAAAATAAAATTAGGAAAACTTACTTATAAAGGGTCGAAGATTTATTCAAGTATGACCCGGGAAAGCTGAGGTAGACCCGGGTTCGCCTTTCGAAAGTGCTCGTGTTATAGGGTTTTAACTAATTTCTATCAAGACTTGAACCTACGTGTTTTTCTAACATCATGAATGATTATAGATTCTTTATTGTTTAATAGTGCTGATCTAAATCGTCTATTAACACTAATTGTAATTGATAATTATTGAGATATTTATCTATTTATATATATATAGGTATACATAAATTAAAAACAAATATATATATATGTTTTTTTACGTTTATCCATAAATTGGATGATTAAATTACAGACTTTTTATTAGATTTTAGAGACTGCCACCAGTGGAAATGTCAGCATAACAAACAATATTTTATCATTCTAAATCTCTAAGGTGAAATATTTTATTTAAAAATGCGTTTCCTTTTGTATTTCAATCTATACAAAAATGTTTTACTTATCTTTTTTTTTTTTTATCAGTATGAATGTACAAGTGTCATATTTTCAATTCTAAAATCTTAAAGGAAGGGGGCCCGGCATGGCCAGGTGGTTACGGCGCTCGACTCGCAATTAGAGGGTCGCG